GCACCACCACTACAGTGGTGCTGTGCAGGAGACGAACAGGGTTGTCAGCAGTTCTATTTGAGGCCAGCATTAATAACCACAGTAAACGACTGCACTGACAGAGTGCTGTTCCACCTGAAGAGGACACACACGGTGCCTGATCACCACTGGAAAGTTTTTGTTTGAGTGTCAAACCAGGCTCAAGGTCACCTCAACATGCACAGCCGAGGATCAGACTACTGAGGCTGTAATTAATGGACAAGCAGCTATTACAGGAGGCCGTCTGACAGTAAGCCTGGACAGTGACGGGCCATTTCAGGTAGCTTGAGATTTATATGCAAAGACAAAAAGGGTCATGGTTTTAATGTGGCTGTTGTACAAAGTTCTTCAGTGTTGTTTTATTATTGCTTGTCCTCCTCACCTGTTGATTCTTGGCGCAGGGTTTTAAAATCTGCTGCAGCTCATTAACAAAAGAAAAGAGCAACAGCTGACTGTATCATCACTCGTGCGCTTGCTTCTTTACATGTCTGACAGTTAGGAAGCAACATTATCATTCATTTAGAGCTGTGCTGCTAGCAGGTGGCCAATATAATTATCACGAAGGAGGGGGACTGAGAACCCAGGCGCAGACACAGGCAGACAGGTGAATACCACAGAGGGCTTTATTAAAGGATAGATAAACTGAAACCAATATAGAGGGAGGTAATGAACAGAGGGGGGGAAACAGAACGGGGCAAAAAAACTACAGAAAACCTAGAAAACTCAAAAAAAAAAAAAAAAACCCTAATGAATTCAAAGATAAAAAACTGAGCTACTCAAACAAATGGGGATACTCACAGAAGGGGGGCAAACAGAAGGGGCAGACAGGCTCAGGGAATCCAGGATGAAACCAGTGGCAGGAGATAGCTGGCCGGGTGAATGCAGGCTGGAGACGGAGCAGAGACTGACAGACACAAGCAGAGGGAATGGCTATGGTCTGGTAGGGTGAGGTGGAATGAGCTGAGTCTTTATAGGAGCTGTGGGGACAGTGAACAGGTGAATCCAGAGTAGCAGCTGAGGGTGATTGTCCTTGATGGAGGGCTGAGAGACAGAGAAAGAGGGAGACAGGCAAGAGCTGGACCTGAGGCTGGGGGGTCATGACTATAATCCCTTTTAGTTCAAGTTTTGGTCTCCACCAGATCCTGAGGAAACATATGTGGACCTTTAGCTGCTAAAGTTCAATATTTTTGAAAATGTATTTCGTCGTCTTCTAGGTGAGATTAAATGAGACGATCAAGCCCACTGTCACACATGTACAACAAATATGAGGCTACAGTGAAGGGATGGATAGCTTAGCTTAGCTTAGCTTAGCATAAGGACTGGAAACAGGAGGAAAGGAACAAAAGCTGCTTTCCAGCATTTCTAAATCCGTCTAGTTAACATGTGAGATGTGCTAATTGGTGCATTTCACTAAATGACAGTAAATGGTAATTAGTCAAATTTCATTTATTAAAGTGTCAGCATGTAAAACCATGAACAGTTTGTTCAAATGATGATGGAAAACATGCTGCATGTGTTCAGAGTTACTACAGAGTGTGTTCACAGAAAAACACTCAAACTAATTCATCCGTCTCCATCTATTTGTATTCATATGTAATTGTTTTGAAGGACTTACAGAGCTTTAGCTCAGAGCTTCTCTTTTCTACATCACTCCTCAGAGGAGTGTCCAGTTTGGCCCAGAGGCAGTCAGTATCTAACCACAGCATCCAGAGTCCTCATCTGGCTGGGAGGCTTGGACACATTTCACTCCTCTGCATCGTTAGCTGTCCAGTGAAGCTGGACGAGCATGAAAAAAAAAGTCTTTAAAATATGCAGTTGTGTCAAAAAAAACAAAAAAGCAAAAGAAACTCGTAATAGAGGAGGAAGAGGTTTGTTAAAGGGTTAACGTTTGGCCTGCGGTTCCTACACTGTGACACACAGATTGTGGAGGCCACAGAAGGTCAGTCAGTGGGTTGTGTATTTTACTAATAACACGCCAGTCTGCAGTGTTCATGGATGAGAGCGATTTTTCTTTTTTGTCTTTCTTCATGTGGTGTTCTTTGGACCCGGGGCCGTTTCTTTAAAGCAGGCCACTTTAAAGGAACCACAGAGAGCGGCAGAGCTCAGCGCTGGCGTAATGAGAAAGATGGGGGTCTCTGCAGTGAAGTGGAGACGCAGACGCAGGCGGAGATACAAACACAGCTGCTGCAGCTGTAATGAGCAGGACTTAGAACCAGCAGGTGCATCACAGGCAGATTACAGCTCAGGCTCAAATGGAGCAGCCTCCAGACCGGTATTAACTAGAGGGCTGTGCTCGCCCAGTTATCTGATTAGTCGGATGCCTTCAGGTTGTGATGACAGTTTTTCTTGTTGTTGTGCTTTTTTAAAAGAAGCACTTAGTTTCTTCTACTTTACATGAAAATATAAAAAAGATCGGTTTACTGAAATCACACAAAAACATATTTCCTAGTTCATTGCTTATTGTTTCTGATCATCGTAATCCTTTTATGCACATATGGTTTCCGTTTTGCCGCCAGCACAGAACAGTCATAATGAGAAATTTAAAACCTCTCACCGAGACACACACATATTGTGTATAACTTACATCTGCACTTATGAACAGTTTTTTATATGCAACAGATCAAACGGCTGTATGGAGAGATGTAGCAGTGGAGCACCCACGGATTTATCACCCGACTCCTCGTTTCTGTGGATCTTTAGTGTCTTATAGCCATTGTTTTGGTTTTGTGGCCCAAAGATTTGGTTTGAAATGCAACAGAAAAGGAAGAGACTGAACACTGGACCAGCATCACCCTGAATGATGAAAACATTTCGTTAGCCTCATAGCATACTTGCCTACGTCATATTTTCATGTTTTTGGGAAATGAGAAAAAACACAATTTTTAGAAATGACATTGGTATTTATTATTGATTTTTTAACGGTACATTCAACCAGATGTGATTGGCCAATGACACAGGTAGAAAGACAGGATGATGCAGAAGTGATAGGAGAGTAAAGTTTGGCAAATATCTCAATTTGACAAAAAAATTACGCAGGCAATTATGCTATGAGGCTAACAATTTGTGTTTTCTTGATATGTTCACTGTGATGGAATCTATATTTACACAAGCACAATTTGAGGTATTTGTGTTTTGCAGAAGCTGCTTTAATGCAGCAACATGTCTATGCTGTGTTCTTGAAGTGCTATACTGACCGAAATAAATCCTTTATTTTGGACGCAGTGAAAATATAATTTTAGATTTTCATTACTGTAGTTTTCAGTAAAATGTTTTTATATAATGAGAACAAATACATCTCTGTCTGTGTCTAACTAGCTGCCTGTTTACAATGTAGTGCACCTTATTTATGCCAGATTGTTGACTATATTTATGAATTCTGAGAGTGAAACGTATCCACTCAGTTGTGCTCTGAAAAACACACACAATGTGTTCATCACAGCGGCGTGTCATAACACAAAATGACAACGAATCAGACGTGATAATTTGTCCATTTCAGCCACTGCGGTGCTTCAGTTTTATAAATCAAGACAGCTGGTCGGTTGGATCAGTTCACGTCAGTGAAACGTGGTGAATCTGTGATGGAGCCACAGATGGGGCTGGTGGTGCTGGATGGTGGAGGGAGTGACGGGACACCTGCTGCAGTGCAGCGACTACTTCAACTTCCCTTGAGTGTTTTCTTTTCATGCTGCTTGTATGCTGGATGACATTTAAGAAAGAAACAAAATGTGTTTTACTGCACTACATTTATCTTTAGTTACTTGATAAATTAGGATTTTATGTACGAAACATACACACCAGCTTTGTTGTTATACGGTACAGCTGGAGCCACTAGTTCATTCACTAACTGCTCAAACTGACAGAAAACTTTACTTTGTGAGTCATTTTTGTTGTTACGAAGTAAAAACAAAAAAACATGACGTTACAGATTCAGCTTGTTGTAAATGATGATTTGTTTGCTGAATGTTTAAATAATTTTAACTGGAATGTATTGGTTGACTAAACAGGACAACCTAGAAAATGATCAGGAGATGAGTCTGAAATAAATCAGAAGACAGTTTAAATCTGCTTCACCTTCAGCAACTACACTGAAATACAGCTTTAACATGAACGCATTAGTGATATTATTATCATCATATGTAAGATAAATACAGTAACAGGGGACATTATTCTGAGGTGAGTACTTTTAAATACTTTAAATACATTTTCTTGATCATATTTCTCTTCTCTGCAAGGTGGCTCAGTGGTTAGCACTGTTGCCTCGCAGCAAGAAGGTCGCCGGTCCGTGTCCCAGTGGGGACACCAGGATCCTCCTGCGTGGAGTCTCCATGTTCTCCCCGTGCAGTGTGGGTTCTCTCCGGGTTCTCCAGCTTCCTCCCACAGTCCAGAAACATGTTGAGGTTAATTGGTGATTGTAAATTGTCCGTAGGTGTGAATGTGAGTGTGCTTGGTTGTCTGTCTCTAAGTGTAGCCCTGTGATAGACTGGTTACCTGTCCAGGTGAACCTGCCTTCACCCTGAGTCAGCTGGGATAGGCTCCAGCCCCCCATGACCCTGGTGAGGATTAAGGTGTAGAGATGATGGATGGATGGATAGTTCTCTTCTTCTACGTATGTACCATTTTCAGTGGAAATGTAGTACTTTAACTTGCAATGGGAGTACTCCTGCAGTGTAGTATTGGTACTTTTACTTCAGCACAGACTCTAGATGCTGCTGTAGTGTCCTGCTGCTCAAGATTGAATTACTAGATCATAACAGAGAGGCTGAAAATTACCATATTATTAACATCCTTTTGGCTTGAGCAAACCTACTATACATACATTACAATACCAGCACTCACAGTCAAGACCATGTGAGATGAATTCAGGGTCTCGTTCTGTACGGTGTGTTTAAGTGCTGCATAGAATTTTCTGAGTCAGAGGTCATGTGCAGCTATGCTCTGTTGCATATTTGACATCCACACGAAAGAAGCAGTAGGAGGCACTGTGAGTTTCAGTGTTATTTTATTGTGAAAACATCAGACAGAATGAACCGCGGGTCGCGCTGCTGGAGGATCCACACCACTCTCCCACACTCAGTGTTCAGTACACAGTCAATTATTCATGGTTTCGGTAAGTACGCCTGAAAATGAACGGAGTAAAACAGAACAGCGAGAGGCTGTCCCGGGAGGAAAAGTCAGATACAGAGAGTTTAGGTGTGTTGCCATGGTAATAGCGAGGAAGCAGTATGGGAGGTTGTCTGAGAATAAATAAATAAATAAATGGCGCATGTTAGAATGAGTGTCTCGCCTTCCTTGGAGACCATCCCTCTAAGGCAGAGCGGGTACAGCACAGTGTTAACACACACTCACACACACACACACACACACACACACACCACCTACACACAGCCACCATCCAGCCACCTCACTTCTATGGAGATACAGCACAAAAGCATTTAACGCGCATGGTGAAAAACGCTGATGACATGATATAAAATCAGGATGAGATGCCACCGATCATTCCTTCAAAGGTCACACACACACACACACACACACACACACACACACACACACACACACACACACACATCACTGTACAGATCACAGCAGCATCAGGCCGTCTGACAGCCCGGGAGGCAGCTGGACACCACGGAGGTGTGTGACCTCTGCAGGAGGACGTACATGATGTCAGGGCAGCACAGAGACACTGGAGAGCTGGCAGGACAGCTGAGGCCACGGCCACAGTAATGTGGACAAATCTGAAACCTCTGTTCACATGGAAGAAACCTTCCACCCACTCTGAGAACATCAGTTAAATGTGTCCCACTGTTCACATCCTGCTCTGCTCAGAACTTTTCGAACAGGGCAGAAAGTTTTCTGGACCTGTAGCAGCTTGTTTAAAGGACAGTTTCAGTTTAATGTAACTTGGGTTTTAGCTGTGTACACTCGGACACAATTATCTATTGGTGATCATAACACTGTTTCTACCAAGTTACCTGCTCTTGGAACATGGCAACAACACGACAACAGGGCAGGAAACGTGACTTTTAAACACGTCGTTCCCACATTGGCCTGGAGGGACCTCCTCTACCTTCTTGTAGGCTCAGTAGACACACTACCATCCGTTCTGATCATTGATGAACAGACGGTAATATAACATCGGCAGCCTCTTGCAGCTGTGTGTCTGAGTGGACAAAAAAGATGGTTGTAATGTGGTGAACATGGTGACGGTTTGTATTTTAAATGAAGCCAAGATCCTTTCCTGAACCTAACCGAGTAGTTTTGGTGCCTAAACTTTGCCAAACTCCAGTTAAGAAACAAGAAGTGATGAGGACAGTACACATGGTGCTGCAGTAGTAACCTGCCTGTCAGAATGCAGTCCTTCTCTGCTTTGTTCTCTATCTTACTCTAAATGGTTTTACTGCAAACTATAATTTACTAAATGAACATCATGCTGGTCCTCACCACAACAAGCTGTATTACTGTTTTCATAGAGTGCATTCTATGTTTCTACTAGATCTTTATATTTTCTATTTGTTCATTTCCTACTGTACTTTTAAAACGTTGTCTGATTTTGTGAATGCTCTGCCAGGATTATTTCATTGTACACAGTGCTATGCTATCGTGGTGTGTTGAGGGAAACTTGAAACTAGCGACTGAGACCATAAACTCATGAGGAAGATGTTTACTGAGGCCACAAATCAAGAGAGAGTTAGTCTCATTTTCTTACAGACTTCTATACAATCAGACTTCTCTTTGCAGCCAGAAGAGTCGCCCCCTGCTGGCTGTCAGAGAGAATGCACATTGAAGGCACTTTGTGTTGTTTTCACCTTAGACTACATCCATCTTTTATAGATCTATTGTTTTGATTGGTCGGCTGTTTTGATCAATACCAAAAAGCCCTCATTAAGCACAACAACAGGCCTGTTTGAAGAGCTGAATATGAAAAGTGGGCTTTAAATCAGAGTGAGCACAGGTCCAGACTGTTACAGAAGGTAGATTTTCACTTGCTGTATTTATGGACACAGTTTTTCTGTGCAACAAGGGATTACATTACTAGTCTACAGCTGAGTCACTTGCAGTTTGACCTCTAAATAAAGAGGTTTACATAACACCTGGGTAAACTGTTGACAACCTTTTAGTTCCTGTGCCTGCTGGTGTATATCCCCCGTTATTCTATTTATTCTATTTTTGTATTTAGTGACCAAAAGCCTAAATTATGATCCAAATTGTAACCAGCTCAGATTGCCTCCTAAAGAAAGCTCCTTTTTGATGTGCACAACGAGACCTTTGACAGTTTTTTGAAAGGTTCTTTCTGCTGTGTTTGGAGCTTGTCTGAAGAAAAAGTGCAAGTCAAGATTCTCAAAGTTGGGTCACATGACAATTACGTTAAAGCATTCTTCCCTCAAACATGGCACTGTTCCTACCTGTGTTTGAGAACATTCAGCCACATGAGTGTGAACATGACCTGAGGCCCAGGAGACAGGAGGGGACTCGGAGCTTTTCTCAGCTCGTTAAACGTCTGGCATGGGCCTCTGCAGAAGCTCCACTGTGTTACATTGCAGAGATTGTATGGATACGTGTGTGTGTGTGTAAGTACTGTGGGACTGTGTCATGTGCAAAGTGAAGTTTGGGAGTGTGAATGGAGTTCTCTTCAAGTCAAAAACACATCCTTACAGGTGTCGCTGTACGTGTGATCTGTGGGTTGCTGCTGCATGTCCTCCCTTCTGTCAAAAGTTTGTGTAGACGACAAAACTAGCTAACCGAATCAGCAGCAATATTCATTTTAAGCTGGAATAAAAGCTGTAAAAATAAAACCCTTTCTCTGTCAGCTGTACCTACGAAGTCATCCTCCGTGATCTTTGAGCAGTGCCATGGTAATTCTACACTTCTAAAGCAGACGTTAGATTAAAGAAAATCAATTTTGTAATTATTTCCTCTATAAGAAACAAACGTTAAATGGAGTGTAGAATCGTTTCAGGTCTAAGTGGCTCCAATCGTTTTCTGATTTCTGACGCCGGAGGTGACCACACAGACGAGCTGCTCTGCGTCTTTTCAGCGTCTCTGTGCTGCTGTGAGTGAAAGGCACAGAGAAACAAGAGTGCCACACAATGGCAGTGTGTGTCTGTGTGTGTGTGAGGCAACCAAAAGTAATGAATCGATATCACATCCAAACATACAGCTCAAAAAAAACAACAACAGCAGAATGAATGACATCATGTCTACACTGTACAAAAACATCCTGCACCGGGACTGTAGATATGTCCGACGTAGCAGGCAGAGAAGGAGCGTGAAAAAAAAACCTGTCGTGGCTTTGTCCCTCCGTGCTGATGATATGAAATGTGATAAGCTTTCAAATATACTTTCAGATATTGTGTGTCTGGTATAATAAACCCTGTGGAGCTGTACAAAGCGCCTTCCGTAGATATCCTCTGATGTAAAGATGTAGTGTTGCAGGTTAGGGAGGACACTTTTCTGCTGTCTTGCTGAGAGTTAGACAAGAAGATTGCTGCCCTACTTGTATCACTCTTGTTATAACTACAACTAGCAGCACGTTAGCTTAGCATTGGAGTGGAAACAGCCAATGAAAATTCAATGCAATGTGAACTCTGGATGTGTTGGGAGACACATCTCATGTGACAACACCTAATGGCTTAACAAACGATTGCCCTAAAATGTTGTTTGTTTATTAATTTATTTTTATTGTAGTGACATATCTGTGTAGACTTTCATTCATCCAGTAATCTTAAGAGCTTTAAGAGAAAACAGCTGGACTTGGTTCGTGCTGGATGAGACGCTGAGTGACACATTTTGTCGTTTGGATGAAGGTGAAACGTATTTAAAAAGCAAAAATAGAAATTCAGTTCTGCAGAAGAGGCATCATCATCGGACAACTGATTGATTGTTATTCCTGCTGGACACATGTCTGTAGACCAAATAGTCACTTCTTTGGTCACTCATTTTATCCTTGTTTCTACAGGCATGACTGCTGTGTAGAAGGACAGCATGAGGACACACGTAGAATAAACTTTTTGATGTAAAATAAAATAACAAAACAAGGAACAGTTGTTCCAAGTGAAGCTGTTCTAAAGTTGTTGATCTTACAATATAAATGGCATTAGGGTGAGGACATAAGTCCACTGCTATGAGTAACTGCATGTAAGTTGATTAAGTTGATTAGAGAACACAATACACCAATGTTAGTCTCTGCACGAGCTGTTTGTCTGCTTTAGAATTAATTTTTGGATCCTTTATTGGTTTCCAAGCCCTGTATTGTCTTAGTTCTACGCATTTATTGAATCCTGTGAACCTTCTAGAACCCTCAGGTCTTTTGGTAGTGACCTTTTAATAGATCTAAAGTCAGAGCCAAAGTCTGTTAATATGGGCCGCATCTCTGGAACAAATTTCCTCAAGACCTGAGGACAGCTGAGAATGTTGATGTTTTTAAAACCAAACCCAAGATCTACATTTTAAGTCTTTTGATTTCATTTATTCACTAAATTATTTGTCTGTTTATACATTTTGACTTTTGCTTCTTCTTATTTTCTTATTTTGCTATTCTGAATTGTTGACTTATCTTTCATCTCATAACACATCCAGTCAATGCTAAGCTAACTAGCTCATAGCCGTAGCTCCATATACAACAGATGGACACAGATGAGTAAAATCAATCTTCTAATGTAATTCTCAGCAAGAATGCAAATGTCGTAAATGTTGAACCATCACTTTAAGTGTTTCCCTGCCTGTGACTTTACTCTTTACTCTATTTACAAAATGTGCGTCAATAACAAAATAAGCACATATTACGTCACTCACGCCTCCTTGAGGGGAAAACACTGTCAGATATGTCTAGAAGACTTCCTGTGTTCCTTTCAGCAAAAAAAAAAGCAAATATGTAGTTCAGTCTAACAGTAGACGTCGTTCCAAAACAACATAAATACAGCCGTCGGCTTGACTTGAATATAAACACTCCTACAGAGGGACAGGGCTGGCCAGTGAGCAGCTCTCATGCAGACGGTGGAGTTAAGAATAGGGACGAAAACACTCCAATGAGGCTGCTGGGTTTTTATCCTGGGCAGAGAGTCCGCTGAGGCCTCTCAGTGCTTGTTTGAATCCCTGCGGACATTTTTTTAGCGGCTCTGTTTGTTTGAGCTGGCCCTTTCCCTGCAGGGACAGTAGGGATCATCGACATCGACTTGCTTGTGTTTTTCTTAACACAGGAGGCCACTTTAGAAGCGAGGTGGGAGAGGAGAAAATGGAGCGAGGAGAAGGAGAGATCTCTGTAATGGCTTGTTTGCAGGCTAAGAGGTCCTTTGTGTATCGTTGCTCTTCCATTCTGGGGGCTAAATGAGCAGTTTAAGCTCAGCCTCAGACACTGTGCTAAAGTGGAGAGGTGTTGCCTGCCTGAGCCTCGTCCTGCAACTGCTGAGTAAGATGCTGCGTGGCATTAACATCAGCGAGTGTTGTTGTGCTCCTGACCCAGGAGGAGGCCGTGCTGAGAATATAGCCATTGTTTCTGCATGAGGACGAGGGCCAGCGCTACAGGCCCGGCTGGTAGCTCCTCTGCTTTATTAGAGCCAGATGTCTGTGAGGGGGCAAACAAGGAAAAATAAGGCTGTTCTCTCATTATAACCCCACACACAGGCATGTGCACACATGTACGGTAATAATACTTCAAAAGCTATAAGAGGAGGTTTGCAGCTGAAACACCACCAGAATGTGGCCCTGAAGGAAATAGAAAATACATCTATTTATAATCTAAGGTCATCAGACTCTCAGTGATGCTGGTATTTCACACACCAGCTTCATTTAGAGACACGGAGTTACCACTAGAGAAACTTTACAGGGAACATGGAGTTGTAGCAGCAGCCAACTAAATATCAGTCTAGAATTAAGATATCAAAGTAAACTACCTGTTATAAACATTTCAAGCTGTAGAGTTTATTTGCAGATTGAATTTAAAGGTGCTACTCCTGGCCTTTCACATTGCACTTCCAAAAAGCTGGGGGACATTTAAAGATGTTTTTGGGGGGTTGGAATCGAACCGCGGCCGCTGCGTCGAGGACCACATCCCCTGTATGTGGGCCGCCCACTCAACCCGTTGAGCTATCTGGACGCCCCAACTGTGGGACATTTAAAAACAAATGGTCAGCGCTGAAGTAGCTGCAGGTGGCATGTCCTGACCTTTAGTCTGTAACCACTCAGTCCTACAATGCAACCCTGTAGCATGTTTTTGCTTTAGACCAGCAAACACTCATGTCCGTCACCGGTTTGCTGCAACCAGATAATGCTGATGACATTCTGTTGACATGTTCAGGGTTGGAAAGCTCCCTCTACATACAACACTATACTACTCTTCACATTTTGAGTGGCACTAGCAGTGATGAGTAAAGTGAGCTTGATATTTAAAGTCTGTGAAGAAGCAGAGTAGCTCAAACATGACCCAATGACATTTTATTCAGTCTAATAGCTTCAATGTAATGATGTAGTGTGACAATACCAATCTGTTTGTCGGTAGAAGCTGAATGGAAAACCCTGACAGCGTTACCAACTGTACAGCTCTGCTTAAACAACAGCCACATGATGACTGTGTGGTAATTTCATTAGACATAAAGGAATAAAGGAATATGTAACACATTAGCACAGCATCAGCTGAAAATATGAAAGCTTTCGAACTGGATTTTGTACACAGGGCACTCTTTCAACTTGACATTTATGTCTTTATGCGTACTCATTTTACATAACAGGGTAATTGTGGTTCTTCATGTTGTGATCGTACCTCTTATGTAACGGCTACTGCATGTCAGTCCTCCTCTGTTGTTCTAAGGATGTTGTTTCTGTGCTTTTTCTGGAAATCCTTAAAAAGGGCTTTAGCTAACAAATCAGGACACACCTTAAAGGTTGGGACATCCTTTCCCCCATCGTTTCTCCTCCTGTTCCCCTTGTACCGTGCACGCTGCTACAGCTTTGCTAGTTTCTCATTTATAAAACCAGGGCTGTGTAGGAAACTATATTTTGTCCAGCACATACACAGAACAGATAGCTAGTGGACCGTGAGGAGATATTCACTGAATTTGACATAAAATGTATTAGATTAAAAAAAAAGCATACTCCACTTTTAAAGCCTTTATCAATCCATCCAACCAACAATTTATTAGCGACACCTACGTCTCATTTTTAGAGTCCTTCAGGGAGCTGGAGTCAATTCCATTTGACACTGATCAAGAGACAGTGATGAATAGGATACAGCTGATACCTTGTCGTGAAAACATTCCTATTACCACAACTTAATTCCAAAAGATTGAACCATAAAGTCAGTCCCAGGGTAATTATACTGAAGGGACTCTCCTCAGATCCTGGTCTTAAGATCAGGTAACAAGGGACCCACCTCAAGGCCCTCATTAAATCAGCTGATATTGTTCTTTAGTGATGCATATTCCCGTAATTCCAGGCAAAGTTATTAAATTATCACTAACCAGTCGCCACACATAGTGTCTGGTACTTGTGGGATCCAAGGACTTTAACATTTCTCTACACTGAGTCTGGTGCATTCAATACTATCAATACCAACAGAGCTACAGAAATCAAGCACCAGTTTCCCTCTTCAAACTGGGGCTTTGTTCATCTCGGTGTAACAGACAGTGAGAGAGGTATAGTGTGCACAAATGCTTAAGATATTTCTGGTTCAGTCATGTGCAACAAAGAGATGCAGATTTTCCAAGAAACGTCTCTTTTACTCTGAAGCTGGAGTGCTTTTGACCAAACTGTGTGATGCAGGCAGGTCAGACGTTCCCTCCCTCCGTCCTGTGTGATGCTTACACAACCGCCTGTGATCCAATTCACAGTGTGATGAGGAGTGTAGTTATTAACCTTGACATTGCTTAGCATCGCTAACATTAATCCCAGTATAGTATGGGGTCCAGTCTGACTCTGTGATGGGCAGTCGCTGCTGATATGTGCACAGCCGGCTCTCATGTTCTGCTTGTGTGTGAGGTGGAGGTGGAGGTGGAGGTGGAGGTGGAGGTGAGGAGGGGGATCTTAATGGCAGGAATGTGCACTGAACACTGACTGTGGGTCTCTGAGGCTCTCAGCCATTTTGGCAGCAAATGTTTGACAACAGTAAATGCAAACTAACCCATAAATCTCTGACGATGTCAGGCACAGAAGGACAAAGCCACTGGTGGACGTGTACATACAACCTTCAGAAATGGAAACGCTGAGATGCACTGATAATGTATCAGAGGCAAACTGTGAAAAAAGAAGCCAGCATGATGAAACAAAACTCTTAACAACAGTCCAAGTTTAAAAATGTCCTAAAATGTTCATCAGCTCAGGAAAACAAATATTAAATCTTTCTCTCTTAGGTTAAACAACAAAGCAAATTAAATAGTATTTAGTTATTGCTGCTCGCAGCAATGATTCATAAAACCATAAAAATAAAAATAAGCATGAAGACAAAAGGATACTCTTAATATACTAAAAGACAAGTTTGGTTGTTGGAGCAGGCCTTGTGGGTGTGGCCCTGGGTGTGTCCACTGAGCCCCTGTGCAGGACTTGGTGGTTATGAGATCCAGTGCCTTTAACCCTCCTCACAACCACACAGGCGTCTCGTTTCTTTCAGGCAGACTTGTGGCTCACAGCTGGTGAGCCCATCCACATGAGCCCTCCCGTACCTTTCTAACCTCGTCCTGTAGCTCAGACTGTTAGGGATGTTTGGTGTTACAGGCGATGGTTTATTAAGCACTTCCATACTTCACTGCTGCAGCAGGAGTCTCTGATTTCACCGAGTCCTCAGGGTGTAACAGAAGAAGTCTCTTCTGCCAGCATCGTATCGACAGAACGCAGTGACAATTTGTTTTGTTCAAACTTTTGGCTGAAGGCGACACCACCAGGTACAGCTGTAGAGGTCTTGAGAATGAAATCAGTAGCCATCAATTACAGGGCATCCTTGAGGCGGTGATGAGCCAATTTCCCTCTGAAATGTATGAATCTAATGAGGGCAAGGGTAATGGGCGCTAACTCACCGCGCTGACAGCGCAGAAGGACATGAACTGTGTTTTACAATTTGACGGAGTTTCTCTACTGATCGGGGGGAGGGGGAGATAAGCTTAGCTCCCACGATGCATTGGGGTCAGGGCGCGTGCGAGGCCGCTGTTTGCTTTGCAGAATCGGAAGCAGTCTAATTTGTCAGCAGTTTGTTTAAACACGTAGGGAACATCATCAGGACAATCCCTCTTCAAGTCCGTCCTCTGAGGATAAGCTCCCCTTTCTAAACACCTTGAAGACCTGCTTCGCCCACACATTTCTCTCTTTGCATGCGTTTGGTCCATTAAGCCCACATTCTCGTCCAATCAGTGCCCTCTGTATCTGCCGATTGGACATCCTCCCACTTACAACCACACAAGCACGCATTCCCTTAATCTTTCAGCACCTGTTGACATATCAATTTCAGACCTGTAAGGTACGACAGTTTTTTAAATCAAGTTTGCTTCCAAAAAAATTCTGCTCTTCGCTCTTTTTGTTGCCTCTCTTTAAACAAGGTAGCCACTCGCAGAGTCCCACCTCTGTCCTCCATTAGTCCAGCCGCAGGTAGCTGGGTATGGAATAGTTGAACATGAGGAAGTCCAACTTGTAAAGCTGGTAGAGCTGGACCTGCTGCTGAGTGCTGATATTGCTGAAGAACTGAGCCGTCATGGCATCTGTGGTGCGAGTGGACTTGGCGTAGCTCGGGAAGCGCAGAGAGTCGCCGACACCCACCAGCCGCAACACGTAGTTTGCGTCCTCCTCCAGCGTCTCATACTTGCCCACCATGTCGTAGTGGATGTGACACGGGTGACACAGCTGGTAGACGGTCTGCCAGTGCTCGTTGAGTGGGCCGTCACGCTGCGTGGCCGGATCCACCAGGTACTCGGCGAATTCCTTGAATTTGACGTCAGCACCGTTGAGCAGGGCTTCCTGTGTGGCATTCTTGCGGTAGCGTCGGACGATTCGGGTGCCAAAGCGCTTGTGAAAGGAGGAATTGTACTTGAGGGTGAACTTGTTGCGGTATGCAGAGACCAGCCTCTCAAAGGGCTCGCGAACGAAGAGGAACTTGAGGTAGTTCTTGAGGCGGTGGTTGATCTCAGCGATGCTGTACTGATTCAGCGTCTTCAAGTTGGAGGGAACATGAGCTTCATTGGAAGGGATTTCCATTGGGTCACTGTGGAGCAGAAGCATACAAACAGTGAGAATCAACTGCTGCATTAGAAATTTCAGTCAGAGCAACAATGAATGGCCTCCATCCATCCATCATCTATACACTTCTATACTCCGCTTAATCCTCACGAGGGTCGCGGGGAGGTTGGAGTCTATCCCAGCTGACTTAGGGTGAAGGCAGGGGACACCCTGGACAGGTCACCAGTCCATCGCAGGGCTACACTTAGAGACAGACAACCAAGCACACTCACATTCAATTTAGAATCACCAATTAACCTCAGCATGTTTTTGGACTGTGTGGGAGGAAGCCAGAGAACCCACGGGGAGAACATGCAAACTCCACACAGAAAGATCCCGGTGCCCCCACGGGGACGCGAACCGGCAACCTTCTTGCTGCGAGGCAACAGTGCTACCAACTGCGCCACCTTGCAGCCCATGAATGGTCCCTCCTTTGCTAAGTCTATTAGCCTTTTAACTGTCTACCAGGTACTAGACTCACCTGTATTTGCCTCGGCCTGTGAGCACCATCATAACACGCTTCCAGTTGGTACAGGCCACCTTGGGGACATAGCAGTAGATAAGCTCGTGGTCCTCGTCCACCACAAGATGTTTGAGGTCTCCGGGTGTCAGGACTCTCCGCTTACGACTGGACGCGCTGTAAACTCGACAGGCGTCCACTACCTGATCCCTCCTGGCCTGGTGGAGGACGGCGGCTCCAGACAACTCCGGCTGGACAGGGAAAGACAAGGAAGGGAGGGACAGGAGAGGAAAACTGTTGTGAAATTCAAAAAAGGCTTTAAGAAAGGTAAGCATGGCGTAGGCGTGGAGCTGCTGCTGTTTTTGCTTTAATTATGCAGTTTACAACAGAGAGGTGATAAAAATAACGAGGGTAAAATGCATGATGACAGGCAAAGAAGGTCCCTGGCCAGACTTAAACTGGGGACACCGTGGTCAGCGTCTTAAACTTCTGGCAAGCAGGGCATCCCTTATTTATGATTATTAATAGATGCAATCTGGTACCTCTGGGGCCAAATTAGCTTCTGACTAATTGCCAAAAAAAAAAAGAAAACTGACTGTTGTTCTATGTTTCACAGTAATCATCATTTAGGGAAAAAAGAGAAGAAATTAACTCAATTACTACACAGAATAAAATAAACCTTCTCTATTTTGAATTTATTGTTATGTGAATATAAATGAATGGATCGCATGTGATGTGTCAGTTTCCTATATTTAGCACAATTAATGTTTTAAATACATGGAAAATACATGATATATGCAGAGTAACAGTTATTGCAATAGAAAATTATTATGTCTACATTTTGCTAATTATGTTTCTTAGTCAGCAAATTAAGTGTAAGACCTTTAAAGACATTTTGCATATCACATAAAATCCAATTTAATACCTGTTCTACTATCAAACCAGTAATGACAATAAAGCCTACAGTTGTTTAATAAGTACATACATTTATGGACATTTATATCACATCTATATCAGGTCATCTTGCTGCACAAAAGAAAGATTTTTACTGATATAATGAGTCCATTAACAGGAACTGATATGTGGCATAAAATAAGCTGACTAAACTAATGTTTTTGCTGAAATCACCGTGACAACAGTCCCACTGCTAGATAACAGGTGGACAACAGCACACACACAGAAACACT